TGCTGCTGCTGCTGCTGCTGCTGCTGCTTCTTCTTCTTCTTCTTCGCGCTTTTTTATTTGATCTGGCCAGCGCTCAACACTCAAGGGAAAGGCGAAACAGATGTACAGTCAGACAGTTACTGGTGTCATCTGAATTAGAACTCTTGGCTTGCTACTGAGGATGGGGAGGGGACGCTTATCTGAGTCTCCAGTGCTGTTATATCGATTCTTAATTCAACATTCTTCTTCGCGTTCAACGACTATAAACTCGGGGTTTTGTTATCCATCTCTACCAGTCTTGCTCCACAACAACCTTAGTTTTTTTTTCCTATTCGTCGTTACCGGCTGTAACCTCATGCGGAGAGTCTGTGTTGCTCGTCAACCTCTGGACTCTGGTCTTGTTTAAGAAGTTGAGTGCTGCGTGCACATCTGTTTTATAGATATGACATTTATATGCAGACTGTTGGTTTTTCGTCCACTGGAAGAAGTATTTTGACTTCGAAGGAAATGCCCCTTATATGCCACCTCTTACGACAACATGCTGTGTCAGGGACATTAGGTCTATTGTGCTCCCATCCCAACCCCGTTAGAATGGGCCCAAGAAGTCACATGGGGTGAACTTGAGTTTTGAGTGCACGTCTGTTTTTATTGTGATTTTCAGTGTCTCTCCTGTTTTTGCCAATTATCTCCTGTGTTGTCGACCTCTGAATAAACAAACACGATCTTTTTAAATCCATTTAGTAGTTAAAAGGGATGTCATTTGCATTTATATTGTTTGTAGTCGCTAGTTTTATGTTGCGCCTCGTATATACCGTGTGACCGTAAGGTCGTGGCGCACTTTACACGGTCAAGGACGTAAAAAGTTCACTATGCCCTAAAGGACACCGTGTATATCTCCTTGGATCAGATCGGAGTTAGTTCACCATCTTCCAAAAATGGAAGATTATTATAGAAACAGTTATTATAGAGACAGAGGGATGCAACTGAAACAATACTGTTGGCAAAAACAAAGAAGTTGTAATTCTACAACTGTTGGCAGGTAAAAGATTCATAGTAAGCATGTAAAACTATACAAGTGGAGTGAGGTGGTGGTGGTGATTTTGGGGGCGGGGTGACATACAATATAGACGTAAAGAATAAACAAGGATACTATTTAATAATACTTTATGTTTGTTGCGTTACCACAATAATGACAGTAGCATGCAGCATCATTTCTCTTCCACAGGTTTCGGCTACTCAATGGTCATATTGTCAGCAATCATTTCTATATACTACAATATTGTCGTCGCCATTTCAATCTTCTACATGTTCGCCTCCATGCAAGAACAGATTCCCTGGTCCACCTGTGGGAACGAATGGAATACTTGTTACTGTAGAACTTCCGACATGAACACCACTTTGGATGACCCTCTTTTATGGTTTAATTCCACCGGACTGAACTGCAGTAAGCAAGTATTTTATCCACTAGTGACCGCGCTCTCCCTTCTGTCATTAATGTTACTCTTAGTAAAAATGGACGCTAATCACGGTCACTGTTTTGAGTCGTGGCAAAGTTTTTGCTTCTGCCAGACGGTGGCCGTTTTATTTTTCTCTGTAGACTGAAAAGCTTTAGTTTCGTCGCCCAGCTACTGAGTTGAGTGCATGGAGCTGCGGATTTCATTTAAAATGTTTTTCGACTGTGACCAACGTAGTGTTGTGAATTGTAGATTCAGAAAATGGCGCGTGCCCTGTCGTCGCAATATTGGTAGTGCCCTTAAGTGATTATAATTGATCGCATGTGCAACTGCTGATTTGTTGGTTACCTCTGCTACCGTCGACGATGAATTGCATTGCTTATGTCTGACTGCTTGAGTTAGCACTTCTGGTGGCTACCGTGTGCTTTAAAGGCGTGTGCATGCTAGTGCCTATGCCGAGACAGCAGTCTGTCAATCTTTCCACAAGGGACTGTGGTGAACATTCTGTGTGTTTTTCTTCGGCACAGGAGCGGAGCAACTTTGGGGTGACCCGTTTGCCATGAAGCTGAAACTAAAATTATAATTACTTTCACCATTACCAATTAATGTTACTGTAACCTTTACTGTTATTGCATTGAATGCAGCCTGCACGATAAACTGCCATTTAAAATTCATAAAACAGTTTCCTAATTGTTAAAAAAAAAAAAAAAAAAAAAAAAAAAAACTACCCATACTGGACTACCGTTTAATTTCGTAACCGCTTTGTTTTGCACCAGTAAAACTGCTTGACAGCTTTGCGGTTGAACGTGGTTTCCACGATTTGTAACTGTCTGATTCTCATCCTTGAGATGTTGATTCTACAGAATGCAAATCTGAAGAGGGAGAACTTACAAAGTGTAAAATGTATAGAGCTCGGAAAGGATAAAACATTTACTTAATGCACCAAATGGTTTGGCTGATACGCCCCTGTCTCTCTGGCCAGAATGACCTCATACGCCGAGAGAATCACTCCATCATTTCAGGGAGGTCGTTGAGATCTCTAAAGCATCATCATTGCAGGAAAACGAACGACCTAGACCGAAACTGAACAGGCGACCATCATAGAGAGAGGCGACCATCACAGAGAGAGGCGACCATCACAGAGAGAGGCTACCATCACAGAGAGAGACGACCATCACAGAGAGAGAGACGACCATCACAGAGAGAGAGAGAGACATGACTTTCAGCATGTTTTCAGGAAGAGTCCCACTTTCACTGTTTTCCATTGTTGCCATTCTGTGTACGGGTTATTGGTAATGTCAATAGAAAGCAAAGGTCGTTAGTTCGTTGGTTTACACCCACATGGTATGGGTACAGTATTCTGCTTACTACTTACACCTCTTACGGATGTGAGTCGTGGACTATCTCCCAGTCCGTAAGAAAGAGAATAGGGGCTTTTGAGCTGAAATGCTATAAAAAGATTCTCAGAATATCTTGGACGAAGAGGAGGAGAAATACTGACATCTTGAAAGATCTGAACATCAAGGAACAGCATCCTGTCTCGGAAGCTGAAATATTTTGGTCATATCAAGCGCCACAACGGATTGGAAAAAATATAGTGGAAGGCATGGTACCAGGAAGAAGGGGCAGGGGCTGACCAACCCGAAGATGAGGACAGGATATAAGTGACTCATTAAGCATGAAAGTACATGAGGCGGGAGAGCTAGTGAGAGACCGAGTTTCTTTCAGGCAGACCGTGATCAGAGCGACGTTCTGAAAAAGACCTGCTACATGATGATCATGACTTACACCTCAATTCTCCCGCTAAATATTGCGACGTTTATACGCGATGCTGTCTTTAATATATATATATATATATAAAATATAGACAGCAAGGTGTATCCCTTGTACAGCTAAGAATAACTCATAGCTTCATGTTGCATTATTTTCCTCCCTACTTGGCCGTGAGATAATGTGAGCCGTTCCAGACCAAAAACCCCATGACTGAAATAATTAGCTTCTGGTGTAGCATGTACATGTACTGCAGGCACAGAAATTTGTGTTCCACATCAGCTAAAGATGCAAGAAGTCCCTTTCTAATCTCCAGCATCACCTCACATCGCGACCAGGACGCCCATTGACTGGCCGGTAGACGACATCGTCGCCGGTCGGGACAGCATTTGGGTCTGTTTCTTTTGATGACATCAACACTGCATGAGTCCTTTTCATGGCTTCTGGCCGCGTGAAATATTGGGCCATTTTATATGGCACACATAACCTAGTCACAATTATAACCTAAAGCTTCCCGTTCGAGGATGCTGGTTGTATGTGACGATCTTCTTTCCTAACAAAGCCCCTACCTACCTAACATCACCTCTTCCCGATGATACTCTAAAGGCAGGCATCCATCAAAATTTATTCCGAGATATTTTAGTGGATTCTTTTTTTTTTTTTTTTGGATTTTAATGCCATTTAATTTAATGTCCTCGACCTCTTGGCTAAAGCAACATGATTTCAGAACACTACAATAATGCTGCTGTATCTGAGCTGGTATTGGAACACACGAAACACTTTAGAATAAGTAATCACTTCAGTTACCATGTGTTTTGAAACCGGTATTACGTCTGTCTTCAACTGAAACACAGCTACTTTCTTGTTTCCTGATTGTTTTTCTCATTATCACGTCCAGGTGGCATTGCTTTTAACGGAACAAAAGTTTTTAGTTCAAGCGAGGAGTATTATAAGTAAGTTTGTATTTTAATTTAAGAAAGTTTGTATTTTAAATTAACACTTTTTTCTATCTTAATTTACATTTCTGTTATTTGTACATGTTTACAAGGCTCAATTTCTTTCAGGCTTGCCACAGGGATCACCGCTATCACCAGTCTTATTCAACGTTTACACGGTGATGATCACTGAGCAGCAGTTGAATGGAAAGGAAAGGACTTTGTCATTTGCTGATGACATTTTGATTTATCGACGAGGGCATGATAGACAGGAAATCGCCAGCACACTGCACAAAGAACTCGATCGAATTGCCGCCTGGTGTAATGGTTCCAATGCCTATGTCAATCCATCGAAGGCATCAGTGTCATGGTTCTCCTTGAACAATCACATTGTCAAGTCGGACTTACCTGAAGTGAAAATGCGTGATAATGTATTGATCAGAACCAACGTTATGACGTTTCTCGGGGTGAGGTTCGATCGCAGCTTGTCATTCAGGGAACACGTTGACCATGAGATAACAAAAGCACGCAAAAGGTCTTATCTGCAATAAGTATTATGGCTGCTTCCAATATCGAGCAAAGACTACTAATACTTCTTTTCGCTACGGTCTGGTCCTTTCCCCCATGGTTGGATACGCTCGGGGCCATCCTCACTGTCAGTGCTATCCGACCAGATTGAAAAGACTCGAAAAGGTGCAAAATGAAGCCATGCGCATTATATTTTGGATGTACAAGAGACACATCCTGTGGAGCAATGAGGTATCTACTTGACTTTCCAACAATGAACCAAAGGATCAGGATGTGGAGGGCTCGGGCATACCATAAAATATGTGCTGATAAGAAACACCCACTGCATCAAGCGCTTTTAGTGAAAAGGGCGACAGACTGAAGAGGGGAAAATCGTGGCTAGGTCGGGCAGAAGATGTTATTAGGCAAATGTGCAGCCTAACCGACATCATATCTGGCGCAGAATGGATACCTGTGCCTGGGGCGTTTATTTGTACATTTTCCTGTATTGTCACGCTCAACAGGCGATGTAGAGAAGAGAATCATGTTGCTGTTAATGCAGAGGTCAACGCCGTCATCAGTGAAAATTCAGATGAAGCAGATGCACTAATCTATACAGACGGAGCCGTTATACGCAAAAAAAAAAAAAAAAGCGCATGGGCATTCACAGCACGCTCAGCGGGCAGAACAGTCAAAGAAGGCAACGGCGCCTTCTCCGTGACAACCAGCAGTATGACGATGGAGGTGATGGCAGTGACGCAAGCGTTGGCTCCCCTGGCAGCTTGAAACACAAAAATACACTCCGCGTATGTATAATATCAGTGATTCAATGAGTATGATCCGTAGGGTTCAGGCAGGTTCAGTGCGAAGACAATGGCTTGAATCATTAAAGAAGTCTACTGTGCGTGAAGTCACCTTTATTTTTGTTCCGGGACCACACACGGAGTAAACACGATGAAATGAAAAAGCTGACAGGTTGGCTGGATCCGCTATCACTACCGACGGTCAGGCCTATAGATCATGCCGATATTATCAATGCCCTCAGAGAAATGGGAAGGATGGAGGACTTTGGTGGCAGTGAATGACATCCACATCGCCAGACTCGCATGACTTGCGGAAGTAAGATCGGCCATAGCAAAAAAACGAGACGCACACCAGACACGCCAGAAGACATGTTAATCAACATAGAACTGGTACTATTAGCCATCGGACGTTGGGGTTCATACTAACTAACTAACTAACTAACTAACTAACTAACTAACTAACTAACTAACTAACTAACTAACTAACTAACTAACTAACTAACTAACTAACTAACTAACTAACTAACTAACCAACTAACTAACTAACTAACTAACTAACTAAGGCTCAATTTCTGCTACCTGTTACCTTTCGTGGATTTTTTTAAATATCCGGAGGTCACCACGGGATAATGTTGTATACATGATGTACTTGTTTAACACAGAAAGTGTCCTTTGATATACAATGTGGGACTATTACATTACATTGTGTGGTGGAGTTGTATCAGGACAGTGTCAGCATGGTATCCCACAAAAAGACTGTAAATGTTAGATGTGTAAATCTACTCTATGTAAACACGCCGCTTTGCTGAAACTCTTCTTCTTCTTCTTCTTCTTCTTGTTCTTCTTGTTCTTCTTGTTCTTGTTCTTGTTCTTGTTCTTCTTCTTCTTCTTCTTCTTCTTCTTCTTCTTCTTCTTTCTTCTTCTTTCTTCTCTTTCTTCTTCTTCTTCTTCTTCTTCTTTCTTCTTCTTCTTCCTTCTTCTTCTTCTTGTTCTTGTTCTTGTTCTTCTTCTTGTTCTCTTCTTCCTTCTTCTTCTTCTTCTTCTTCTTCTTTTTCTTCTTCTTCTTCTTCTCTCTTCTTCTTCTTCTTCTTCTTCTTTCTTCTTCTTCTTCTTCTTCTTCTTCTTCTTCTTCTTCGCGTTCAACCAGCTGTAAACTCTGGCGATAAGTTTTGGTTGTTTCTCCACTTCTGGACTGGAGTTCTGTTCCAGAACCTGAGTGTTGCGAGTGCATTCATTTTACAGATCTGACTCATTTGTTTGCAGACTGTTGGTTCCTTGCATCTCAGGCAGATGCACTCTGACTTTGAAGAAAGCTCCCAATTAGTCGACTCTTATGACAAGCTTTTAAGTAGGCAGTGGGTTATATTATTGTTTTCCCTATTCTAGGACCCGGAACCACACGCGGGGATGCTGACAACTCATGTATTTTTAGCAATATTTTAAACAGTCAACAACAGATGCCAAAGAGCTATCATTTGATATCCTAATGTTTCACAGCAATTACGTCTTGGAGAAAACGGCCTCAATAGCTGAACCAGGGAAAATCAAGTGGGATTTGACCTTGTGCAATCTGTTGGCATGGGTGATCATCGGTATCTGCCTCATTAAAGGTGTTAAAAGCATGGGAAAGGTATCACGTCTTTGATTTACATAATTAACCTATGCATGTGAGAAGTATGTGAGAAATCACTCTAGAAAAAAAAGGCATTGTAGCTCAAATATGAATTAGCTTCACACGGATGTCGATTTCGTAGTAAATTTAATGATATAACCAACAATACGATTTTCTATTTAGAACAGCAGATGAAAGCTTTTGGGGGAAAAATGTAGCGACCGAGGAACTGTGATTATATTGTTTAATTCACGCACATAATCCTAATTAGTCCTTTCATTCATTAATTCATTCATTCATTCATTCATTCATTCATTCATTCATTCATTCATTCATTCATTCATTCATTCATTCATTCATTCATTGTCCTGGTGTGCCATTATATATCACATAGAGCTTTCAGTATGTGCCTCCATTCCCTTCTCTCGTGTGCAATCACTTCCATATCATAGATTGATTCCTGTCACAGCACCTTTGCCGGCTGTAGTCAAGGACCCTGATATAACCTGACTATTGAACGGGCTTTCTGGGGCTTGCGCCTAGGGGATTCTCATTCGAAAAGTGGTACTTGGTGTCAGTGGGTGTTAGTCGTTTAGTGTGCCGTCCTGGTGGGGTTGAACGTCACTCACTCACTCACAGTAAATGTCTGGAGATTCTCTGTTAGTCTCTTCTCAAAATGTGTCCAATACAGCGCCATCTTCTCAGTCTCATAACTGTTGATACTTCTTTCCTTAATTCTTTTAATCCTCTTAAATTCATACCATTTTATATTCAAAACTGCTCTCATACATTTGTTTTCGAATGCAGTTAATTTTGGTTGTATAACGTTAATGGTTTTCAAACGATTAATGGCTTATGTTAAAATTGAAATTACATTAGATTTGAGGATACCTAATTTGATTCTAAAAGTGTGTAATGTAGAGAATCAGTACTTTGCTGTTCACAGATTGGGCACATTATCTTATCTCAGTTGTGGATTTTCCGCAGGCTGTATATTTCTTCGCCCTGTTTCCGTATGTGGTAATGACTATCTTGTTGATCAGAGGGGCGACGCTACCTGGAGCAATCAAAGGGATTGACTTCTATATCACACCCGACACCAGTAAACTGAAGGACTCCAAGGTGAGCCGATGTTGTGTAATCTCTCTTGGGCCTGACTTTATTAGAGATTCGTGAAAATGGCTTTAGAAATCTTTCACTTCACCTCTCATGCAGCATTTTTATTTAAAAAAAAAAACGTAGCGTTTTAGTTGATTTCAGTAACATGTTGAGAACAATTAAAAATAAATATTGAAGGTAAGAGCCACAGTAACGTAGACTCTGGGGGTTCAGTGTATGGAACAGAAACCTGGAGCACTTAACCAGATGTCATCAGGTACCGTCAAATTGAGTAATTTCTCTGACTTTTTCTTCTTCTTCGTTCACCGGCTGTGAATTCCGGCGGAAGGTCCCGGTTAATCGTCTGCTTGGACTTTTGGCTTTTACCTGGACCTGAGTTTTGCGTGTACAACCGTTTTGTGTTCCCTGCCTCACGGGCAGATGTACTCCGACTTCGATGATTTCTCTGACTGTCGAGGCGGCAGACGGAGCTAATATGAATGGCGATGTCTATAGAGTCATTACTCTGACTGTCGAGGCGGCAGACGGAGGTAATATGAATGGAGATGTCTTGGATGCTGTAATGTCAAATTTTTGTCTAGAGCAGCGGTTCTCATCCTATGGGTCGCCTCCCTTTTGTGGGTCGAACGACCCTTTCACAGCGGATGCTAAAGAACATCGGAAAACACATATTCACTAAAGTTATGAAGTAGCAAGGAAAATAACTGTATGGTTTAGGGAGGGGGGGGGGTGCAGGGTCGCCACAGCATGAGTGACTGTATTAAAGGGTCGCGGCATTAGTAAAGCTGAGAGCCGTTGACCTTAAGGAACTTAGAGGAAATAACGTGTATACATGAAAGTGAAGATATCAGGTGTAAAAAAGTCGGGAGATAAGAAGATATCAGGTGTGTGGGGAATAAGATCTATTACAGAGATGACTAATAACACTGAGAAACTCACACCAGACACTGACCCTACAGGTGTGGAAAGAGGCGGCCTCGCAGATTTTCTTCTCTCTGAGTTGTTGTACCGGAAGTCTGACCTGCAATGGCTAGCTACAACAAGTTCCACAACAATGTACTCAGGTAGGCTGGTTGCACTTTCGTTTGTCACATATTTCTCAACCATATACTAGAGTAATCATGTATTACCTACAGTTGCAGAAAATCTCACAGCAGTGTATTCAAGTAATCTCACAGCTACACAAATCTCACAACAGTGTATTCAAGTAATCTCACAGCTAAACAAATTTCACAACAGTGTATTCAGGTAATCTTACAGCTAAATAAATTTCACAACAGTGTATAGGGGTAATCTCGCAGCTACACACATTTCACAACAGTGTATAGGGGTAATCTCACAGCTACACAAATTTCACAACAGTGTATTCAGATAGTCTCACAGCAAATCAAATTTCACAACAGTGTATTCAGATAATCTTACAGCAAATAAAATTTCACAACAGAGAACTTAGGTAACTTAAAGTTGCGTGCATTTCACAGCAGTGTACAATTAAGGGAAGGACCCTTTTTCACGCCTTTTAGGCGTATTGGGTATAAAAGACTAGGCCTATATTTATAGACCAAACGGCACTTGGTGGGTGATGAGCTGGGTCGACCATAAGAACCAAAATAAAAAAAAAAAAAAAAAAAAACATCCGACCCTCGTCAGGTACCGAACCCACGGTCTTCCAATCCACAGGCTAGCTTCTAGCAGCTAGACCAAGGTGGCTCCCTCAAAGCAGTGTATTTAAGTAATTGTACCTAGAATTGCGTAAAGGAGTTACTTTATACCTCACCTGATCTGGTTCTGTGCTTTTATGGATCCTCATGCCAAACTTCTGCCACATGTCCCCGTCGTGCGCCACGGATAATGTCTCAAATGAGCTGGCATTGATCTCGAAGCTGATGGCAACCAGAAATACAATGCCCAGAAATCCTTTGGCTCTCATCAGCCCGCTTTTAATGCATGGGTGATAACGTCCATCAAAACTGATTTGGAACACGAGTAAAGCTCGCTAGCCAGATATACTACGAAATAACAAACCCCCGGTTGAAAAGTCTGTCGAGTAAACTACTGACCTGCTGAGACCCTAAAGTGATTTTTCTGTTTTCCGTAGTGTTGCTACAAATTTCCCAACAAAATATTTGTACATTCTCATAGTTGCAATAAATCTTACAACAAAGTACTCGTAGCTACAATACATTTCACAGCAATATACTCAGGTAATATGACAGGTAAATCACCATTTACACAGTGTAGCCAGGTAATCCTGTTCTATGTACAATATTTCTGCGTCCAATGCCTCATCAATGTAAGACAAGATTAAACACTATCTGTCTGATTTTGCGGAGAGATTAAGTCTGAAATTCACTGTGCCAGTCGGGAACATGATTAAAAAGAAAGGTCTACAGAGGGCGAAAATGAGAGACATGTTTGCAGAGATTAGCCTACAGAATACACAACTTGTGGATATTCTTGCAGATAAACATTTAACACAGAGCGAAAATAGTGGTTATGTCTACAGGACGACATTAGAAGACGATCAGAGATCAAATAGATCATCCAGGCTAAATAAATCACGACTCCACAGGATGAATGTTTAGGTGGGAAGCTTCTCGGCAGATTTGAGAAGCAAAGTTCTAAGACCATGTATAGAACCAGTTCTGACACATGGAAGTGAATCAAAGATAAGTAACACACCAGTGAGAAATTATACCGAGGCTGTCGAAATGTGGTTTTGAAGTAAATCGCTGAACGTTCTGCACAAATAAACGTACACTTGCGCAATGTCTTCACTTTATTTAAAAACCTGTAAATGTACCATAATAGTCGAGTGTATACTTAAGAAAGCCAGTAAGGCTAACGTTACTTGATCACACAAGATCTCAACCCTAATCTATCACCCAAACCACCAGAGAAGCGCAAGACAGATACAGAAAACTACGACTCTGGGCTACACCATGATATCAGTGAGACCACAACAGAAGAACAAGATCTCAGATAGGGGGCAGGAAATTCAACTAGACCAATTTCCGCTCAGAAGATACATTTCTATACTTAAAGGTTCTTTCTTCAGTTTGCTTCTTAATCGTTAAATTCCTTCAGTTTTTATTTATTTTTCTGGAACTGAGACGAGCCTCTAGGAAGTGTCCGAGGATTGTCCTTATGGGTCAGCGAAGCACTAGCCGCTGGAATAAACAGTTCTAACTTAACAGCAAACATTCATCCTGCAAGTGTTTAATATGTGCAAGAGAAACATCACATTAAGTGCCTGGGACTGTACCATGACATTAGTTGATCAGACAGCCGTGGCAAAGCTAAAAACAAAGCATAAAATAAATAAAATATAGAGTAGCCACCAGAAGGGCCAACAACTTGCTACTAGAATTTCATTTCATCATAAATGTAACAGTCCTGATAAACCAAAAGTTTAACACGCATTACTGAATAGTACAGTCAGGTTTGTACTACTGGACTTCTTTTTCTTCTTAAAGTGCATCTACAACCTTCTGTCTCTTGAGCTTGCAATCAACTCTGGCAGAGATGATTCTTTATGCCATGATGTCAAACTGTCCAGCATCTTTTCTTTCAGTCTCCCTCTGCCTCTCCTCCTCTCCAACTTTCGTACTGTCACCATGTACTCCAGTTTTCTCCTTCTCATTAGAATGTAGATTGTGTCATTCTGATGGGGGGCAATAAGTTATCTACAGATACGTTAGTCGCAGGGAAAGAAAAGGGTATTCAATGTGAAATCCACAGCTAACATTGTAACACATTTAAAGTCCCACTTGTTGCAGGTTTCTCTTTTACAGTGACAGTGAGTTGAGCCACGACCGGCCAGCTGGAGTCGGTCGTGGTTGAGCTGAGTTGAGTCAAGAATTGACATCACAGCGCTCAGGGCATTCCAATGCGTGCTCCGTCCTCATCTTCAGCAGCCAGCGCAGAGTTCCAGTACTGATGGTACAGGTTACAATCTGGTTATACGTCCGTCTTGCCTTCCCTCTGCGTGTAGTCAGTCGGCCAGACCATCTGGTTACACCCAGGTACCTCATTCTCTCAGGGTCATAATAATCTTGTTTCTCTACTGATTCGTTGCTTGTCCCCAAAGGGCCGTGACCACATCTGTCTTGTCATGAATGGCTGCCTTGTCTTTTACAATGAATAACTTTAAATCATTTGTATGTTTCTTCAGAGACGGTATCATCATTCCAGTGATCAACTGCCTGACAAGTTTCTATGTGGGCTTTGCCATTTTCTCCGTCCTTGGGTTTATGTCCCAAAATACGGGTATCGACGTTAAAGATGTCGCAACCGATGGTAATTACACTGTTTACATATTTTTCTACATTGCACTGATGATCTTTTTTTTTTCTTCTCCTCATATTTTTTCTTCTTTATCTTCCTCTGACTCTTCGCCTTTCTCTTCTTTGTTTGTTTCTTTGTTTCTTTCTTTGTTTCTTTCCTTGTTTCTTTCTTTCTTTCTTTCTTTCTTTCTTTCTTTCTTTCTTTCTTTCTTTCTTTCTTTCTTTCTTTCTTTCTTTCTTTCTTTCTTTCTTTCTTTCTTTCTTTCTTTCTTTCTTTCTTTCTTTCTTTCTTTCTTTCTTTCTTTCTTTTTTTCTTTCTTTCTTTTCTTTCTTTCTTGCTTTCTTGCTTTCTTTCTTTCTTTCTTTCTTTCTTTTCTTTCTTTCTTTCTTTCTTTCTTTCTTTCTTTCTTTCCTTTCTTTCTTTCTTTCTTTCTTTCTTTCTTTCTTTCTTTCTTTCTTTCTTTCTTCTTCTTTCTTTTCTTTTTCTTTCTTTCTTTCTTTCTTTCTTTCTTTCTTTCTTTCTTTCTTTCTTTCTTTTCTTTCTTTCTTTCTTTCTTCTCTTTCTTTCTTTCTTTCTTTTCTTTCTTTCTTTCTTTCTTTCTTTCTTTCTTTCTTTCTTTCTTCTTTTTCTTTCTTTCTTTCTTTCTTTCTTTCTTTCTTTCTCTATTCTTAACCCCCATCTTCATCATAAATTTAGCAATCATCATTACTATCGTCATCACCATCATATTATCCTTCTTCTCCCTGTACCCCTACTTTGCTGCTGCTGCTGTCATCATGTTCTGGTGTTTAAAAAAAAATATATATCCTCCCCATTTTTCTTCTTTTTAATTTTGTCCCTAACATCATTGCCATGGTCATCTTCTGTCGCAATCAATATTTGAAATGTGCCTATCTGAAATGAATCACGAACAGGACAGTGAACAGTGCGGATTTCGGTAATAACTAGATAAGATATAGCGTAGGGCCTCACAGTTTGCATAGGGCCTACAATTATTCACATTTCAAATGATGTTAGTTAGTTAGTTAGCTAGTTGGTTAGTTAGTTAGTTAGTTAGTTAGTTAGTTAGTTAGTTAGTTAGTTAGTTAGTTAGTTAGTTAGCTAGTTAGTTAGTTAGTTAGTTAGTTAGTTAGTTAGTTAGTTAGTTAGTTAGTTAGTTACTTAGTTAGTTAGTTAGTTAGTTAGTTAGTTAGTTAGTTAGTTAGTTAGTTAGTTAGCTAGCTAGCTAGCTAGTTAGTTAGTTAGTTAGTTAGTTAGTTAGTTAGTTGGTTAGTTAGTTAGTTGGTTAGTTAGTTAGTTAGTTAGTTAGTTAGTTAGTTAGTTAGTTAGTTAGCTAGTTGGTTAGTTAGTTAGTTAGTTAGTTAGTTAGTTAGTTAGTTAGTTAGTTAGTTAGTTAGTTAGTTAGTTAGTTAGTTAGTTAGTTAGTTAGTTAGTTAGTTAGCTAGTTGGTTAGTTAGCTAGTTAGTTAGTTAGTTAGTTAGTTAGTTAGTTAGTTAGTTAGTTAGTTAGTTAGTTAGTTAGTTAGTTATTTAGCTATTTGGTTAGTTAGTTAGTTGGTTAGTTAGTTAGTTAGTAAGTTAGTTAGTTAGTTAGTTAGTTAGTTTGTTAGTTAGTTAGTTAGTTAGTTAGTTAGTTAGTTAGTTAGTTAGTAAGTTAGTTAGTTAGCTATTAGGTTAGTTAGTTAGTTAGTTAGTTAGTTAGTTAGCTAGTTAGTTAGTTAGTTGGTTAGTTAGTTAGTTAGTTAGTTAGTTAGTTAGTTAGTTAGTTAGTTAGTTAGTTAGTTAGTTAGTTAGTTAGTTAGTTAGTTAGTTAGTTAGTTAGTTAGTTAGTTAGTTAGTTAGTTAGTTAGTTGGATGGTTAGTTAGTTAGTTAGTTAGTTAGTTAGTTAGTTAGTTAGTTGGTTAGTTAGTTTAGTTAGTTAGTTAGTTAGTTAGTTAGTTAGTTAGTTAGTTAGTTTAGTTAGTTAGTTAGTTAGTTAGTTAGTTAGTTAGTTAGTTAGCTAGTTAGTTAGTTAGCTAGTTAGTTAGTTAGTTAGTTAGTTAGTTAGTTAGTTAGTTAGTTAGTTAGCTAGTTAGTTAGTTGGTTAGTTAGTTAGTTAGTTAGTTAGTTAGTTAGCTAGCTAGTTAGTTAGTTAGTTAGTTAGTTAGGTAGCTAGCTAGTTAGTTAGTTGGTTAGTTAGTTAGTTAGTTAGTTAGTTAGTTAGTTAGTTAGTTAGTTAGTTAGTTAGTTAGTTAGTTAGTTAGTTAGTTAGTTAGTTAGTTAGTTAGTTAGTTAGTTAGTTAGTTAGTTGGTTGGTTAGTTAGTTAGTTAGTTAGTTAGTTAGTTAGTTGGTTAGTTAGTTTAGTTAGTTAGTTAGTTAGTTAGTTAGTTAGTTAGTTTAGTTAGTTAGTTAGTTAGTTAGTTAGTTAGTTAGTTAGCTAGCTAGTTAGTTAGTTAGTTAGTTAGTTAGTTAGTTAGGTAGCTAGCTAGTTAGTTAGTTGGTTAGTTAGTTAGTTAGTTAGTTATTTAGTTAGTTAGTTAGTTGGTTAGTTAGTTAGTTAGTTAGTTAGTTAGTTAGTTAGTTAGTTAGTTAGTTAGTTAGTTAGTTAGTTAGTTAGTTAGTTAGTTAGTTGGTTAGTTAGTTAGTTAGTTAGTTAGCTAGTTGGTTAGTTAGTTAGTTAGTTAGTTAGTTGGCTAGTTGGTTAGTTAGTTAGTTAGTTAGTTAGTTAGTTAGTTAGTTAGTTAGTTAGTTAGTTAGTTAGTTAGTTAGTTAGTTAGTTAGTTAGTTAGTTAGTTAGTTAGTTAGTTAGTTAGTTAGTTAGTTAGTTAGTTAGTTAGTTAGTTAGTTAGTTAGTTAGTTAGTTAGTTAGTTAGTTAGTTAGTTAGCTAGTTAGTTAGTTAGTTAGCTAGTTGGTTAGTTAGTTAGTTGGTTAGTTAGTTAGTTAGTTAGTTAGTTAGTTTGTTGGTTAGCTAGTTAGTTAGTTAGTTAGTTAGTTAGTTAGTTAGTTAGTTAGTTAGTTAGTTAGCTAGTTGGTTAGTTAGTTAGTTAGTTAGTTAGTTAGTTAGTTAGTTAGTTAGCTAGTTAGTTAGTTAGTTAGTTAGTTAGTTAGTTAGTTAGTTAGTTAGTTAGTTAGTTAGTTAGTTAGTTAGTTAGTTAGTTAGTTTGTTAGTTAGTTAGTTAGTTAGTTGGTTAGTTAGTTAGTTAGTTAGTTGGTTAGTTAGTTAGTTAGTTAGTTAGTTAGTTAGTTAGTTAGTTAGTTAGTTAGTTAGTTAGTTAGTTTAGTTAGTTAGTTAGTTAGTTAGTTAGTTAGTTAGTTAGTTAGTTAGTTAGCTAGTTGGTTAGTTAGTTAGTTAGTTAGTTAGTTAGTTAGTTAGTTAGTTAGTTAGTTAGCTAGTTAGTTAGTTAGTTAGTTAGTTAGTTAGTTAGTTAGTTAGTTAGTTAGTTAGTTAGTTAGTTAGTTAGCTAGTTAGTTAGTTAGTTAGTTAGTTAGTTAGTTAGTTAGTTAGTTAGCTAGTTGGTTAGTTAGTTAGTTAGTTAGTTAGTTAGTTAGTTAGTTGGTTAGTTAGTTAGTTAGTTAGTTAGTTAGTTAGTTAGTTAGTTAGTTAGTTAGTTAGTTAGTTAGTTAGCTAGTTAGTTAGTAAGTTAGTTAGTTAGTTAGTTAGTTAGTTAGTTAGTTAGTTAGTTAGTTAGTTAGTTGGTTAGTTAGTTAGTTGGTTAGTTAGTTAGTTGGTTAGTTGGTTAGTTAGTTAGTTGGTTAGTTGGTTAGTTGGTTAGTTGGTTAGTTGGTTAGTTAGTTAGTTGGTTAGTTGGTTAGTTAGTTAGTTGGTTAGTTAGTTAGTTGGTTAGTTAGTTAGTTAGTTAGTTGGTTAGTTAGTTAGTTAGTTAGTTAGTTAGTTAGTTAGTTAGTTAGTTAGTTAGTTAGTTAGTTAGTTAGTCTTTCCTCTTAAGCCTAAGGTGGCGAATAGGGATGTCATAGCTCTCTATGTCTGGCGGTTCAACGGCTCCTGACTTCGGTCTTGAATATTTATTAGGCCCATAGTTGAGCCTTCCCTGATAATGGTTCTACGCAGTCTCTCTTGGTCTTCCCCATTTTCTTCTCCCTTTTTGTGTCCATACGAGGGCTTGATGGGGGAGTTGACTTATCCATTCTGAGTGCATAGCCGAATAAATTCCAGCGTCGCTTTCTTATAAAATGTAATATATTTTCTTGCTTGATCTCGTCTTATTTGCGTATTGGATCCGGAATCTGTCCGGTGCAGATTCAGTATTCTTCTAAGACGTCTATTCTCAAAATTGACAATTTTATTTTTGGTATCAATAGCTACTATTTGCTTTTATATTTACATTTCCAATGATGTTACACTTGTGAAATCAATTTTTAAAAGCAAAATTAAAGTTGTAACTTCAAACTTAAAGCCTTTCAGTGGATTATATTACAATTCTTTTGGTTTTACAAGCGCATTCTTTATTATTTCTTTTAATAATAAATAAAATTGAAATGTATACTTATGATCCGTATGAATGAATTATAGGACAGACTCTCAAGCCATCCGAGAAGCGCAAGACAAATACAGAAAACCACTACAACCTGTTATCAGGGAGACGACAAAGATGTAGTGTGTGTGTGTGTGTGTGTGTGTGTACGCGCATAAGGTCAATCTCTCCAACATAAATATATGAGCGTGTGTGTGTTCGTGTGATTGACTGCGTGAGTAAATACAAGTGTAAGATGTGCGTATTCTACAAACTGTAACTCTTACCAACTGTTCCCATCCAGGCACCGGGCTTGTGTTTGTGGCGTTTCCAGAAGCTCTGTCGCATATGCCAGTGCCCCAGTTGTGGTCCGTACTGTTCTTTTTGATGATGATATGCTTAGGAATGGGAACCCAGGTAGGCGTGTTTTGTGTGTACGCGTAGTCTATATATATATATATATATATATTGTTGGTCCATCACGTGTGATGAAGACCACTCCTTCCTTCATTCTTCATGAAACAAAAGTTGAGATCTATGAGTCCAGAGGTGATTTGTAAGCCCAGTATGGGCCGGGAAAGATCTTCGACAATTGGGCTTTGAACAATGCCTCCCAGGTCGCGCTCCCTCTTCGAATAGATGTTCGCTATGTTGTCGTATCTTGTGCGGCAGCATCCCAAATGTCAGGGTCTATATTAAAGGCCTTAAGTGATGCTTTTAGCGTGTCCTTGAAGCGTTTTTTTTTCTCTGGCCACTATGAGGCGTCTACCTTCCTGATCTCAACATACACAATTATTTTTGGGAGTCATTTGCTTGGCATGTGCACGACGTGACCTGACCATCGAATGTGTTACTGCATCAGGAGGGTATCGAAGCTGAGGATGCCAGCTCTGTCCAGAACGTCGGTATCCAAACCCTGTTCTGCCACTTCATTTTTAGTATTTTTATTGGACTCACTGTATATGAGTGGTTGCGTTTCTTTGCACGACGTCTGTATACAGTCACTCTTTTACAAGCATACAGAAGCACACAACAGTACTTGAAGCATCGCATCTCCGCTTACCTTAAGTTTGGTTTGTAGACGGATACCACTTCGATAGCAGACTTTTGTTTATAGTCTGCCAAAAGTGCATTTGGCTTTAGCAACCCTAATGTTTATCTCATCGTCAATTTTGACATTTTTTAGACAGTATACTACCAAGGTACAACCCTTAACTTCCTGCCATTTATCAAAATGGTTTTCCCAGTATACACTTTGCTAGGTACTTGTTGGTACATGATTTCAGTTTTATCCATATCGATGGCAAGCCAAAAGTTGACACAAGCCTCAGAGAATTTGTCAATGTTATACTGCCGATGCGCTTCCGAACCAATATTAACAGTGCAGTCGTCAGCGAATACAAGATATGTGCGTTAGTGTGTGTGTGTGTGTGTGTGTGTGTGTGTGTGTATCCTATATATATATATACCTACATATATATATATATATATATATATATATATATATATATATATATATATATATATATATATATACGATGAAAAGAACAGCATTATGACTGAGAAAGGAGCAAAAAACAAGTTACTTGCAGACAGAAATGATGCTTGGCAGTCGATTCTGGTGGCATTGAAGAATAACAATAATAATTGTCGCTTCCTGATCGACCCAGCCTCAACTAGATACTTGCTATCTACTTAAGAGAAATGACGGCCTGCGTGATGTTTACCACATCAACCATTTGGCTGTAAAATTATGCTTTTTTCACACACGCTTCTGAATGTTATGTTTAATTAAACAAGTAAGTAAATTGACCTTCCAACACCAGTGCGCATCGGGTGTATGATGCTAAAATCATAATTTGATAGTTTCCCACTCCTCTGATAGTTACTTGGCTGTCCAGCATTCGCACGATTCTTTTAACAAAAACGCGCCCTCCATGCCTTCAAAGTTTCCTCTAGTTTACGTCTGACCAAATATGTAATGTGCTCATCTAGGGGCATGTCTTGTTTACATTGCTTTCAGACGAACAGTGAGTTGAAACGACACAGCATGAACGAATATTGAGTTCTTTGCTTTTATTCGTTGAATCGCCAGTTATCGCAAACATACATTCATACTTCCTCGTGCCCGACTTGCTTGGCTGAATCTAGCGATCTGGTCGGACTTCCCACACACTACAGGAATTTATCAGCGTCTCTCGAACCATCCATCTGTACTTCATGTACTCCGGTATCTGACATTACGACGTATGGAAACACATTCAATCCTCCTATTGAAATATAACGTTCACTTGACAAATCATTTATTCTTCTCAGGCGCTCATTCACGCGTCCTCTCTCAGTCAGGGCAGAACTTCAACTGTCTTACTTCAGTCTCTCGGTTCACGTCTTCCGTTCACATCTCATGCTTTTCTTGTGTCTCTCACTTCGTTCACCATGAGACACACGAGACTCATTTCTCCCGTTTTTCTCTTCTCTCACGGGTCCTCCGACCTTTTTCTCTCCATCGGGAACTCTCTGGGGTTTCCCCGGGAATTCACAACATTACAATCTCCCCCTCCCTTCTAGTAAAAAAAATTTAACCTTAAATTTTTTTTTCTATTACTTTGTCTTTAGGTTATAATTTTAAAGGTTTGGGAATACTTTAATGTAATGATGTGGATTACCTAATAATCATTTTGGGTTTTAATGGTTACTTCCCTTTTGATAGGTTTTACATTATTTCCCTTTGTCACATTACCAGTTATAAGTACCAATAAGTACCAAGTGGCTTAATGGGAAACAACCCTTCAGGCACTCTCTTCCAAGTGCGGTAGTCCATATAGGCTCTGCGTATTAACCCCATGCCATCCCACAGTCTGTATAAAACAGAACAACAATTCTGGTACTCTCTTTCAAGTACTGAAGTCCATATCGGCTATGGAACAGAAATGTAGAAAACCCGCAAAGTCCCACCCTCACCGTTGGACTCATGGCTACTGTCACTGGTTTACGTTTCAATTAGAAACATATGTTTCCCTATTTAGGATTTCGAACTCAATCCCTTGGATTATGTGGTGTAAATTACCCATTACTTTTCTGAAAAAGTATTATTATTCCCTTTCTATATCATAGTATTTACCCTATTACATGTTTTACAACCTATATTTTCACCAATAAATTTATCTAAACAACATATGCAATCATTATTAAACCTTATTTCAACATGTTGTAACATCTTCATTGTCATAATCATCATCATTATTGTCATCATCATCATCGTTATCATCATCATCATCATCATCATCATCATTGTTGTTGTTGTCGTTATCAGCATTATTGTCATCATATTCATCTCATCGTCATCATCGTTCTCCTCATTATAGTCACCATTGTCACACGTATATTGTTGCTTACTTACAAATGTAACATACATAAAAATCATCAATTAAGCTATGTTTACATATTTCATTCATTCAAACATACTCTTTCCTGTAATTCAGGATTTCTCCAGGTAATACATACAATACAAAATTGAATCTATGTTTATAATCTGGACATCACGTCGGGTAGATGGTTTTCAATGCCCTTAATGTGTTCTATTTTGAACTGAAATTGGGATAATAATAATGCCCATCTGTATACTCTTGCGTTATTTGTTGCATCCATTGTTAACAATTTTGTCAGGCCTAAGTTATCAGTCAGAATAATGAATTCCTTTCCTATCAAGAATTTCTGGAATTTTTTAAGGCTGATAACAAGAGCGAGAGCCTCTTTTTCGAAAGTACTGTAATTCGGGTGGAATTAAGTTTCTGTGAAAGATATAGAACCGGAAGAAGAGTACCGGAATACCTTTGAGCCAACATCGCGGCTATGGTATGACCACTAGCGTCAGTTTGTAGGTAGAAAGTGTTAGATGGGTCCGGTTGTCTCGGTATTGGTGGAGTAGCAAACATTACATCATCATCTGCAAATGCCTTTTATATAAAATCATTACTAACCTTTCTTCTAAAATACCTTTTCATCATGTTAACATGAACCATTTTCAATTTCCCTTTATAGAAATAATCGTATATGGGCCACGCCATTTGATACAGTTTATCTGAATCTTTTGGTAGCAACACACTTCTTGACCGGGTTCGAAGGCCATCAGTTTGGTACTTCTATTTGCAAACATTCGCTGTTTATGTTGTGTGTGCACCTGTCTTTTTTACTTCACATGTTACTATTATTTTTGATATAACTAATACATCTTTATGAAACACTATAATGGGTGGTTTCTAAATATTGTTATACCAGATACATGATAATTAATTCTGTGCTAATGTATACAGACACAATTAAAACTGTTTGATTAAAGTGGACTGGTTTACCTAATATCACAATATATTAAAATAATCTGCTTGCTGTATGTGACTGCTGTCATCGACAAGTTATGTGTAATCACAGAATGAGGAAAGTGTTTAGAATAAACCATGTGTAGAAGCAATAGTTTTAGTAGTAGCAATGCAAGAAGTGTAACACTTTTGAGAATTTGACATCTTTTGATAATCACCAAGACTTGTGAATTGAAGTTTTTCCGACTAGGATAATTAGTCATCAAAAGTTGCACTATTTGAATAGCATAGATAGTACAGGATAACTCTAAGTTCTTTGTCTGGAATGTTGTCAAAATAATCTGCAATATAATTAAAATGAAGTGTAGTATCCACATCCAACCATGTGTGTAATGTGATGTACCATTCTGCTGTTTCTGTACATGGTGTTTCTTTTGTGATATGTCATGATACTTTTTTGTTAACATCTCGTATCGCTTCCTAGTTTCAGGACCCAGCGATTTGCAATATTTTTTACAACAATCACAGAGAATAGGATGTTTCATTTGATACCTATCTACACTGTGTTTTGTTTCTGTGTTTTGAGTGTTTTCAGTTACCGTTGTTTTTGTAATCACACACTTTTCTCTGCCAAGCTTAGTTTCTGTCTTTGTATGCTGTTTATTCTTGCACGCTTCGCTTTCATTCATTTCACTTTTCTTCTTTCTGTGTTGGGCTTTGTTACGACTGCTACTCTTCTTGCTTCTTTCTTCCATACTTTCTGACCCATTCTTTGTCCTTTTTCTTCTGTTTGTATTTTCATTTTTCCTTTCACTCTCCAAGCTTTTTCTGACACATTCTTCTTTGGGGTATGGAATGTTACCTTTTGCATCTTCACTCTCACTTGGGTTGGCACTCTCACTGGGATTTGGAGGGTTGTCTTTCGTAACCTTACTCTCACTCACATTACAGCATTCTTTGGGATATGGGGAGTTGTCTTCCGTACTTTCATTCTGACAATACTTTGGAATATTTTTTTGTTCCCAAGCTACAATGTCCCTGTCGGTTACTGTTCTTAAATCTTCTCTGTTTCCCAAAATCAAATCAGCACAAGGGGATGGT